CTGCTCTGCTGCTTCGCTTGCGGCTCCGATCTGGATCTGGCGTGAGCTGCTTCTTCGGTCTGGTGCTGCTCTTCGCGATGTGGTGTTGGTTGTTGCGGTGGTGGTGGCTGCGGTGGTGCTGCGGTGGTGGACGGCGGCTTCGGCCAAGGGGTGGTGCGGTTCTGGTCGCGGTGGATCGTGGGATCCCGTGGCCGGAGTGAGGTCGGCCTCGGCAGGGGTGGTGGTTTGTTGGTCGGTGGTGGCGGGCGGTCGGCACATCTCCGGGAGAAATCCTTGCTCCGGTCTCCACCGGAGCCGACGGCGGCAGCGCCCGCGGGTGCCGTGATCTTTCTTGGAAGCGTCGTCGTGGAGGTGCGCTCCTCCTCCCCACGGCTTTGGCTCCGGAGGGAAACCTCAGATCCTCTGGATCGGGCGATGGAGGCGTCTTCGCGTCTTTCTCCTCCTTGGGGGCATCGTCTCGGAGCAGGCAACGACTGGGAGACCGATGGATGGCGGCATCTTCGCCGTGTGGGTTGCGGCATCTTCGCCGCGTGGTTTGTGGCATCTTCGCCGCGTAGTTTGCCGAGGCGGCCTTTTCGGGGGCGCTGATTTCCGTTTGGCAACGAAGATGGCGTCAAGAGGAACTCTGGTCGCGGCTCGGGCTTCGGTAGTCGGATCTTCCCGGCGTGTCCGAGGTGCTCTTTGGGGCACGGTCGGCACAAGTCCTGCATATTTCCCTTGTGATGATCGTCGTCAGAGTCGGAGCTGTCGGCTGTTCGCGCGTGTGGCCTTCTGTTGGCATGTGCCGTCATGGTTTCTGTGCAGCTGTTTGCGGGTTGGCTTCGACGATGAAGGTCTACGGTGAAGTCGGAGTCGCCCGTTCGGAGGTAGCCGGTGATGACGATGACGCTTGCGACTGCTCGGCGGATGTCTTTCCCTCTTTGTAGCTTTGTGATCCCATGTCGGTGGCCAGGTTGACCGATGGTACCCATTTTATGTGGGTTGGATTGTATCGGTTTTAGCCCGGTTTTCCGTCAATTAACCGGGCAATTCTCACTCCTCCTTAATTAATGAAAATGGCAAGTCTTTTGCCTCGTTTCAAAAAAAATATAATGTTCGAGCTAATGTATACTTAGTATAATTTAAGCTTAGTATCCAAGCTGATAGGGAATTTTGGGTGTCCAATCAGATTTTTACTTAGTTGAGCCATGTCTTGCAATCGAAATGTGCAGTCAATCATGATTTCTTGTACTATTTATATGCTTATCATATATCCATCAGTCACACCTTATCACAGGTTCTCATTTTCGTGACAAACCTTTTCCCAACAGAATAAATAGTGATTCTAAGCATGGAGTGGGTAATGAAACACGTGAAGCCACAAATTTGCAGAACCGAAACATCATAAAAGTTATAGAAGTAGGCAAGGAAACACGAAAAAATGCCATGAAAATATATGAATTTGGGCTTAGCAGTTTGTGGTTGGATGCATATATGATCCCTTGAATGATATTTCTTTCCAACATAGCTCTTGTTTATTCAATTTGGTGCAGAGACAAACCACCATCAAGGGATGAACTGGAAACCATCGAAAGCAAGTGTGACGGCATTCCTCTTAAATTTTGTCAAGTTGATAATGGACGTGTCAGCTTTCTCTCCTTCGACAAAGTTCTACTTCCTAGTTTGCCCTGACAGATAGCAGCAGAAATGGTTGTTATTTTTCACTTATTCTGAACTTCTTATCTTGTAAAGGCATGACCTCAATTTGCATTAGGATGTATACTCAGTGCCATGAACGACAGCCTAAGACAACCCCATGAATCAGTTAGTTCACAGAATGGCTTGTCTTTTTCAGCAGCAAATTGATGAATCGTTTCAATGGACAACAAGCGTTTCTATTGTTTACTGTTTCCAACTGATGATGTTATTTCGGCTGGTGCAACATCACCTTTGGGTTTTCTGACTTCAGAGATAATTCATCGATATTTTCCACAGGGACTAGGTACCTTTTTGGTGTGTTTCTAACTAATTAAGTTGCTTGCTAATGTCTCTCTGTTCGATGACACCAGAGAAGAGTTCGTACAAAAAATGACACTAGAGAACAATAGGCCGTTGCCACTGAGGAGAGCGTCACTTCGTTGCACAAGAGTTGATGTGACAATTAATCACCGTTTGGCCCCTATTTGAATGGTTGTTGCGGTGATTTTTCCAGTTTACCGGCAATGAAGGTGATGCTGTAACTTCAGTTCGACAACTATATTTAACTGGCATGTGGGGAATGTTCTAGTATCCACACTTTTGGGACTGAGGGAAATAATCGAGTGTGTTTTATCTTTAAAATGGGGTGCGCCGCAGATAAGTCGTTTAGTGGCTCAGGCGTCATGGAGGCCTTTTTTGGAAAATTCAAAATTCAAAATTTTAATTTTAGAAAAATCTAAAAAAAGATCCACATGCATATATGGATGCCTTGTTTGCATACGTATAAAAGTCCAAGATGATATACTTTAACATGTGAGCTACACAGTAAAACATGTGTTACATGCACTATTCACTATTAAAATGCACAAGTTTTCTTATGAAATACTCCCTCCGTCTCATGATGTAAGACGCTTTCTGACACTACACTACAACATTTTCTGAGACTACACTACAAGTGTCGAAAAACGTCTTACATTATGGGACAAAGGGAATATATGATGTGGACCAGATCATGACCAAGGAATCCAAGAGTGAGGTTCATGCTAGCACAAATGTTGAACCATTAGAGCAGCCAAAGGAAGACATGGGCAAAACCATTATCGTAGTTGGAAAGCTTCAGGTGCCTATTTAGGAAAAAATGACACATCAGATTTCCAGTTGCAACTTTCCACCTAAACCCAATTAATTCTGGAAGGCTCTAGCACGTTTTAGAGGCTGTAAAAGATGGTATTTGAAGTTAGCTTTCATTAAAAAAAGATGCATCATTCGAGGTCTTGAGTCAAAAATTGTGCAAGTTTCCATAAAAGTTGTCCATGAATTTATTATAGCGTGAGGCTCAACAAGTTTGCTCCTGCTAGAGCTTGGGGTTCACGAATTTACCCTTCTTTTTGATTTGTTTTCGCACCTAACTAGTAGGTGCTTCTAGTATAAATACTCCTCAGCTGCTTCACGTGAAGGGGGATGAGATTTCTGTGTTTATGTTTGTAGACAGCCGGTGAGGTTGTGTTGTGCTGAGAGCACTAGTATCTTTAAGTGTTAGCTCGTGTGTGTGGATTGGAGGGCTTGTCCTCAATTCATATTGGACCCTTGTGGTTCCCTCTTGTGATTCTTCATAGGTTCACAAGTTCCATGGTTTAGGTCGCGTCCGTGTAAACCAAGCTAATTATCCACTGCAATTTATCTGAGAGTGTTTCCTCTTGTTCTTGCCACTTGAGAGAAACAAAGTTAGATGAAACAAGTTTTGAGTGAGTTTGTTGCTGCTTCTTGGGAGTTCTTTGGCACCGTGAAAGATCGTTTATGAGGCGTCACATATCATCTTGGCATCAGAGCTTTAGGTTGATCATGGTGTTATTTTCTCTCTTACTGATTTTGTTCTTGAGAAGCTTCCATGGGTTCGAGGAGGTCAAGCAGTGTTGATGGTGTGCATGGAGGTAGGCACCTCGAGGAGGAGGAGCCGCCACTTCCCGTGTACAATCCTAGCTTGCAGCCGGCTTATGTGTTGGCTCTAGAGGATACACAGGAGTATGTGTTGAACAAGGTGAGCGGCGCATATCGGCCGTCGAGACCAAAGTTGGCCGGAGAATCGACTCCCTCATCGAGGAGCTCCATCGAGATAGGCTTGCTGCATGGGGTCGTGATACGTCTCCAACGTATCTACCTTTTCTCACGCTTTTCCTCTTGTTCTGGACTCTAATTTGCATGATTTGAATGAAACTAACCCCGGACTGACGCTGTTTTTAGCAGAACTACCATGGTGTTGTTTTTGTGCAGAAATAAAAGTTCTCAGAATGGAACGAAACTTTGCGAGGAATTTTTATGGAATAAAAGAGGATTTTTGGAGCCAAGACCCACCAGAGAGGGGCCCCTGGGTGGGCACAATCCACCAGGGCGCGCCCCCCTCTTAGCGTGCCCAGTTGGGTTGTACCCACCTGGTGGCCCCATTGACGATCCCTCTGACACTATAATATCACATTATTTTAGAAAAAAAATCAGAGAGAAATAATTATCACAATCCACGAGAAGGAGCCGCCGCCAAGCCTTGTTCTTCCTCGGGAGGGTAGATCTGGAGTCCGTTTGGGGCTCCGGAGAGGGGGATCTTCGTTCTTCGTCATCACCAACCCATCTCCATCGCCAATTCCATGATGCTCCCCACCGGGAGTGAGTAATTCCTTCGTAAGCTCGCTGGTTGGTGAGGAGTTGGATGAGATTCATCATGTAATCGAGTTAGTTTTGTTAGAGCCTGATCCCCGGTATCCACTATGTACTTAGATTGATGTTGCTATGACTTTGCTATGCTTAATGCTTGTCACTTTGGGCCCGGGTGCCATGATTTCAGATCTGAACCGTTTATGAATTCATCATTATATCCATGTGTTAGTTCCGATCTTGCAAGTTATAGTCACCTACTACGTGTTATGATCCGACAACCCCGGAGTGACAACAACCGGGCCCACTCTCGGTGATGACCATAGTTTGAGGAGTTCATGTATTCACTATGTGTTAATGCTTTGTTCCGGTTCTCTATTAAAAGGAGGCCTTAATATCCCTTAGTTTCCAATATGGACCCCGCTGCCACGGGAGGGTAGGACAAAAGATGCCATGCAAGTTCTTTTAATAAAGCACGTATGACTATTTACGGAATACATGCCTACATTATATCGATGAACTGGAGCTAGTGCCATATCGCCCTAGGTTATAACTGTCACATGATGAATATCATCCAACAAGTCACCGATCCCATGCTTACGAATTTACCATATATTGTTCTTACTAAGTTACTACTATTGCTACTGCTATCATTACTACTACAATATCACTGCTACCACTGTTACTGTTACCGTTGCTATTGTCACTACTATCAAAACTATCAAACTACTTTGCTACTGAACACTTTGCTGCAGATAATTAATCTCCAGGTGTGGTTGAATTGACAACTCAGCTGCTAATACCTTCAAATGTTCTTTGGCTCCCCTTGTGTCGAATCTATAAATTTGGGTTAAATACTTACCCTCGAAAACTGTTGCGATCCCCTATACTTGTGGTTTATCAAGACCTTTTTCTGGCGCCGTTGCCGGGGAGCATAGCTATATTTGTTGAGTCACTTGGGATTATTATCAATCTATCACTATGAAGAATTTGAAGGATCCAAAGACTAAGATATTTCCCTCAAGGATGAGGGGAGGTAAGGAACTGCCATCTAGTTCTGCTTTAGATTCACCTTCTGTTATGAGTAAACTTGCAACACCGCCACCACATGCTATTAATTCTGATATGTCATAAGTTATTGATGATGCTACTTCTATTATGAATGATGCTTATGATGATGCTAGTACCATGCTTGATAATGTTGATGTGCCACTTGGTGAATTTCTTGATGAACAAATTGCTAGAGTAATACAACATGATGTTGTTGAATCTGATGATGAGCTTGAAACTGAAACTCCTGAAACACTTGCTAGAGCTAGCCCTCCTAGATATGAATTGCCTAAGGTACCCGAAGGCTATGTTATGAGTGAAGAGGCAACTAGATATATTCTTCCTTGTAAGGATAGAGATGATCTAGAGAAATTATTACACAAGTATAAAGAAAAATCTCTGAATGCTAGAATGAAATGTGATCCTAAGTTTGCTACTTCACCTATTGCTATTACTGTTAAGGATTATGAATTCTCTGTCGACCCAGAGTTAATTACTTTGGTTGAATCTGATCCTTTCCATGGTTATGAAACTGAAACTGTTGTGGCACATCTTACTAAGTTGAATGATATAGTCACCCTTTTTACTCATGATGAGAAAACTCGATACCACTTTATTCTCAAATTATTTCCTTACTCATTAAAGGGTGATGCTAAAGCTTGGTACAATAATCTTACTCCTAGTTGTGTGCCTAGTCCCCGGGATATGATTTACTACTTCTCTGAAAAATATTTTCCCGCTCATAAGAAACAAGCTGCCTTACAGGAAATATTTAACTTTGTTCAAACTAAAGAAGAGAGTCTCCCACAAGCTTGGGGGAGGCTTTGCCAGTTACTTAATGCTTTGTTTGATCATCCTCTTAAGAAAATGAAATATTTGATATCTTCTATAGAGGACTAACCAATGCTTCTAGGGACTCCCTAGATCGTTGTGCTGGTTGTGTTTTCAGGGAACGAACTATTGCTCAAGATGGAGCATTATTGAATAACATATTGAAAAATTATGATGATTGGACTGTTCCTGAACCACCGCCTAAACCCAATCCGAAGAAGAGGGGTATCTTATATCTCAGTCCTGAAGATATGCAAGAGGCAAAGAAATCTATAAAGGAAAAAGGTGTTAAGGTCGAGGATGTTAAAAATTTACCACCTATCAAAGAAATACATGGGCTTGAAGCACCAACACCACCTAAGGTGGTAGAGGTAAAATCTTTAATGAAATTCAATGATAGTGATGATCCTCATAATAAACATCCTAGTCAATGCCTTTATGAGTTTGACAATTACATTAGAAAGCAA